AATATTATATAAGTTTCAAATTTTTCTAGACTGGTAAAAAATTACTCCGCACAAATTATTACAACTATCATCAGTAAAAAACTTATATTATATACGAATTTGTTTACAAGTTTGTACCATTTTGACAATTTGCAAAATGTTGGAGATTTCACATATATATGAATCATACTTACTGCATATTTCCATTCGTAATTTTGCCATCTAATAAAATAAAATAACGTGCAATCATATTGGAAAATGGAGTGTTAATATAATAAAGATTTATAAATAAAAATTTTAATTAACTATATGAATAAATATAGAACATTCTTATATATTTTAATCAAAAAATCGAATAAATATTATCTTAAAATAACTTTTCTTATTGTAATAATCATTTAATAAAAGATTTCTCTACAGTTTTCAAACAAAATTCTGTTAAGATCCTTATTCCTTATATTTAAACGAAAAACTTAACTATATAATAAAAAACAATAATTTTATATAATAAGATAAATCAACATATTGTCTTTCTTTTACAGAATAGATATTATAAATAAAATTAACAAAAATATATGTGCAGTTTATTAATATATTATTAATAGATAATTTAAGCTTTGATTTAGTCTAAGAATATGTCATTAATTTCTTTATCATATTTTTGTCTCAGACTAATTAAAAAATTATGTTTTATTCGAACCTTTTACTTTCTCGATCAACGAGAAATAATCACGATTCCATTTTCTCGGAAATAGAAGACTGAAGAATGTTTTCTTCCTCGATTTCAGTTTTTAATTTTGTCTCGAATTCTAACTGTTTGTCTTCCTTTTGCTCGTTCTCTTCTACTTGTTCATCCACGTTGATCTCTTCTTCTTCATCTGCACCTTCCGGTAACAATTCTTCTTTCACCATTATTTTTTCGTCAGAATTATTTTCTTCAGTGTTTCTTGCTTTTGTTTCAATATTGTTTTGTATATCTTCATCAGGCGAGGATACGTCTCCGGATCGATGGAATGTTAACATATGGTGATCTAATTCTGCTCTGAAGAAAAATTTTAATGTGCACTGGGAACAATCATATGGGCGTGCACCCAAACCGTGTTCTTGAAGCATATGATTCTAAAAAATTGGAGATATTTGAAAAGGTATAAATTTTATTTATTTATAGATATTATTTATTTAAAGATATAAGTTAATTATTATTTTTGAAAATAACAATACTAATAATTTAATTGATAAAGAATAATACTTCTTATAATACCTGAAGACCAATAGGTGCAGTGAAAAGAGATTGGCAAATATAACAGCTGAGAGCGGCACATCCTGCAAAAGTGTGCTCTATCAAATGGCTTTGCAACTGTAATGGACTATTAGCTTCAAATAAACATAAATGACATCGTAACGCCTCCATGGAAGTTTTTTCTGATACTTCCAAATGTTCTTTCTTTATATGCTGCTGAATCTTTGCTTCTGTTGCGAATGACATCTGAAAAGGAAATAAATGAATTGATCATTAGATCTTTAGATTTTATTTATGATTTTATATATAATTTAAAAAGTGATAAATTCATGTAAATTTTCGAAATATCGAATTATTATATTTTGTATTTATCTAATTATTGCAATTTTTATTACTTGACATTGTATACACGTATATGTATTAGATGCAGCTCCAGTCTTCTCATGCTCTATTATCCTATGTTTTTCCACCTCTTCGGAATCCTCAAATTTCACTCCACAATCTTGACATCTCTTATTATCAATCATTCCATTTCTATTTTCTTTATATTTATTCTCCGATTCCCATTTATTTTTCGATCCATCCCATTGTCCATCTTTATTATTAGATGCCCAAGAATCATCACATTTAGATCTAACAGATTCATATGAATTCAAAATAGGTAAACCTTGAGAGTGACGAATATAGCAAGACTTGCAGACTCTCAAAGATTGTCCTCCTCCACTTACATGACTTGGTGGCAAATTAACAAAGTCATCACCAGAATAATCTCTTAAGCAAAGACAACAACTTGGATTCTGATTTTTTTGATTGGGACTAGGGCTAGATCCCACACTGTGAGGACCAGTAGAAGCTCTCAAATGATGTCTAGCATGAAGACGACATTCCAAATCGCTGATCAGTGTCTGTCTGCAAACTACACACGCTGCAGGAAGATGGGGAAGAGAACCATCTAATCTCTGTTGAGGATCCACGTTTTCCAAACTGTGTCTTTGAACGTGTTCTAAAAATTGTGATTCTGAAGATAAATTTCCTCGACAAACAATACACGTGTCACTTAGTTGAATTTTACAGTGTTTTTGCAGTTTATGTTCTGCTAGAGTTGCACCTGAAGGACAGACTTCGTCACAAATATTGCATTTGTGACGGCCCCCAGGTTCATTTGATGCATGTTGAATCCTTGTATGAGATTCTAGGTCAGTTCTAGAACGACATACTTCTCCACAATATGCACAAGTCATGCTGAGACTTGATATAGATTTATTTTGAAACTTAGCTGGAGTGTGAACCAATTTCTTGTGGGCTTGGAGTTCTGTTTCATTAGAAAATTCCCCTCTTTCGCAGAGATCACACTGTTGAGAAGATGTATTGGAGTAATTTGGACGTTTATTATTGTTGTCTCGTTGATTTACGGTGTTGTTGTTGCTGGATGCTGGAGAACGACCTCTTTTTTGAGATTTTGTCTATATAATAAAAAAATTCAATCAAAAGAGAGATGAAATAACTGAAAAGGCATTAATTGAATTAGAATTTAAAGCTTTGAACATACCTCTTCTTGCAATCTTGGCGGTCTACCAATCCTTCCATTTTCTCTAGAGCTACTTCTAATAATACCTTGATGACTACTGGAATGATGTGCTTGAGCAATATGCCTGTCCAACAAAAATTCTACAGCAAATCCCTCTCTACAAACTGGACATCTGTATAAGTTAGCAGAATGGCTAGCCAAATGAAGTTGTAATTCCAGTTCAGAAGTACAACAAATTCCACAGAAAACACATCTTGGTCCGGAATTTCCAGTTATTCCAGGGGTAGATGCAGGACTTCTGGCTACAGGGCTGTTATTTGATACAGTAGGAGGTGCATGGACATTTCTCACATGATTTGTCATCTCGGATTCACTCCTGAAGAAACTTTTTCCTTCTCCTGGTGCATTACCTGGTGAATTTTCGTTATTGGACACCGTACAAGCATTGCATCTATAGATCCTACATTCCTGACTGTGTTTCACAGCAAAATGGACTTGTATCGCCACTCTGGAATCAAAAGTGTCTCTGCACAGAGCGCATCTGTAAAGGTGGTGAGCATGACTATCGAGTAAATGCCTTTGAAGAAGATCTGGATGGGGATAGAGCTTTTTGCAGGCACCACAGGCATACTCTTTACTAATCTGACCTAGATAATGCTTTGTCAAGTGCACAAACATATCTTCCCTGTCTTGAAAAGTGGCCTCACACTTGGGACAAGAATGTCTGACAGCATCGTTTCTATGATTAGCTTGAAGGTGTCTAGCCAGATGTTCTCTAAAAGATTCAAAGTCTTTTAAAGCTGCTCCACATTGGCCACATAACAGAGTACCAGCTGAATAATTGTTTTCCATAGTGGTGGTATGCTTGCTAGTTAAATCTGCTGGCTCAGAAGAAGATATTTGTTCTCTAGATTTCTGATTTCTGGAACTTTTAGACTCGTAACTTCCGTTCATTTTCGCATCTATATAGTCTTTACTTTCCAGGGGAGCTATCGATCGATTTTCACAATGTTGAAGAACATAATGTTCCGCGTAAGCAGCTGCCGAAGCACAAGGAATGCCGCAAAGAGGGCACATCATCAAGGCAGAGTTGAAACTGTCCGTTCTATGGATCGAGATCAAGTGATCTCTCAAAGAGCCTAATGTGGAGAATTTCATGGTACACTGATTGCACGTAAACGCGTTTTCATAATGATCCTTTTCCATAGACCTCTCTGAATCATCTTGATATTTCCTATTATGCTCCTTCGAAGTTCCTTCCGATCGATCTAAATTTTTCTCACCATGTTGATAACCAATCTGTTCGTTGGCTCTATTGGTCGATGGAGATACCGCAACAGTTTCGCCGCTTAAGATAGCTTGATGCATTGTATGCACGTGCATCTGGAGCTGTTGCATGCAGTTGAAAGAATCTCTGGTGCAGTACATACAAGCAAGCTTCAATGGAGAATTTAGGATCGGCGTTGTCGAAACACTGCCCTGCGAGCTTTTCAACCCGGATTTCGGGTTCAAGGAGAGGTTTAAAGACGGTGATGGGGAACTCGGTACTGGCGGCGATGATGTACTGTGAGAGGACACGCTTCTTCTACCGTAATCGATGTCCTTGGCCGATCCTTGCGATTGATGATGTTTCTTGTGAGATTGCATATGGGATGTCAAGGCAGCTGCTGTGTTGTACCCTCTGGAACAGGCCGTGCACTGATACGGTTTCTGCGTGTCGTGAGTTTTCATATGGATCTTCAGATGGTCGCTAAAAATTTTAGTGGAAAAATAATTATTATTTGTTGAATTATCATTCGAAGAAAAGTTATTTAAAAAAGAAAAAGAAAAGAAAAGAAAAGAAACTTAACCAAATCAAAATTCTATAATTATTAATTATACATATCAAAATACGATGAAGAATTCGGAAATTATTTTTCTCATAAAAATCGAATCTAATTTCAAGGAAAAAAAAATCTCCTTCGAGCAATCATAAAGGAAAGGATAAACGTGAAATCAATCTCGGATATCAGAAAAATTGATCGGTGGCATGTTCGGCAAAAATAAAGAGAATGTGAACGATAGCTGAACGATTTTCCTCTGCTCGTGTGTCGCTCGACGGATAAATAATTCATCCGTCCGGTGGAAAACTAAATCCGTTATAAGGCGAGGTCACCGGTTTGGTCCAACCGGTCAGTGTCTCGGCTCGTTCAGAAACGAAGACAGACGGCAAATTCGCTCTTGCACTTTGTGTTTGAATAATTCATGTGCCAGGATTATCGACTGGTTATGTTCTACCTGTCCTATTATCGTGTGTGTATCTCTGTGCGCTTTGCTTAGCAAAATTTTTGGCAAAAAAAAAAAAAAAAAAGAAAAGAAAAAAAAGAAAAAAAAAAAAAAAAAAAGAAAAGAAAAAAAAGAAAAAAAAAAAAAAAAAAAGAAAAGAAAAAGAAGAAAAAAAAAAATATATTAAAATCGGACAACTTTTTCGACATCCCTTGAATTCCTTCGTTCTTTTGAGAACGTTTATTACGCAGGATTTGGCTCAGAGATTGTTATATTTAGGATGTTTAAGAATATGATGTAGTTTTAAATACGTTTTTAGTTTAATTTTTTCGATCTTTCTATTTGACGAATATTTAAAAAAATTATTTATTTTCTTTTTTCAACAAAATGTTCTAATGGATGCCACGAATGTTAAAATACGATGTAAAATATCGTTATTAAAGAAAGATGCATGACGTATTTCAATATTTTTGAAGATATTTTTTTGGAAAATAATATTTATTGTTTTAAGCGAGTGAATATCGACGAGGATAATAATTTTCGACAAATTAAGAGAAAGAGATGTTTTTCGCTTTATTTTCTCTCATGGCAGATGATCTAGGAATAACAACTGGTCGAGCATGTATCTCGATCGATTTCGAGATCGTTCGGATCTCCTGTGGTTACGATATCTATGTAAGAGAACCACAGGGGTTTTCACCCTTTTGTTGGGTCACCCAAGCCGACTGTCGAGCAGAACGAATAGAGATGTGGCGTAAAGATCCAGAAATGCGATTGTAATAATGGCCGACAGGCTAAGTCTCTGTTAAAACTCTGTTTACTTCCATTCCTTTCCTTTCCTTTTTAAGAAAATACCCATTTAACGTTTTCAACAGTTCAAAATTAATCTGATAGAAATTTTTCGAATTTAAAAAAAAAAATTTATTACATAATTTAACAAGTATTCCTTAGCATAAATATAAATAATTTTTCAAAATAATAATTTCGAAGAAATTATTCCAACAGAAATTTTTATTTGAGTGATCCTTTATTAAAAAATTTCCAAAAATCTTTTGTATTGATTCGACTGAAACTTTTACTAGTTTCAAAAGACTTTTATTGATTATTAATCTCTGTTTTCAGAATCATTTTCACGTTTAATTTAACAAGTTAATTTAAACAGAGAGAAAAAGAAAAAAAGATAAATCTAAAGAAAAGAAGAAATCTGTGAGAAATCTAATGGAAGTCACGAGCGCGACGTAAGGGCTCGTAGCTTTCGGTGGACGAGGAGCAACGAGGCACTTGACTAATGTTCTACCTGTTGTCCCGTAACACCTATGCGCCTACCTGTCCACTCAGCTGGGGAACGCAGAGAAGAGGGACGGGGGTCCCCTTCTTCTCGTATTC